GCCAGGTGGTCCATTTTCGCCACCAAAAGAGCAACTTTTTGAGGTAGGCTCCAGACCGACTTCTAAGGCTCTTAGAGCAAAATGCCTCAAGTTAAAATTGTTTTTAGACCCTCTAGACTCCATTTCTGCATTTTAAAAAAATGGCTCTTTTGATCCCATTTCGAACCAAAAGAGCCACTTTTTGATGTAGGCTCCCGACCCACTTCTAGCGCTCTTAGAGCAAAACGCTTTAAGTAAAAAATGTTATTTAGACCTTATTGACTCCATTTCTACAATGAAAAATGGCTCTTTTGGTCAGGGTGGGTTAACCTAATAAAAGATACGAAAAGAAAGTTTATATAGCATTACCGACTTTTAATAAATACTTGCCGATATGTTTTGGGATACACTTTTCTGTGCGTTTTTATTGGTATAATGTTCATCGTTCATATTAGCTTTTTAAAATTTTGTGAATGTGTAAATTGTAATGATAATCCTTATTGTCTGTGATATCTTTATTTGTCATTAAAAAATGTGATTGTAAACCCGTAAAATAAAATAGAAATTTTCCACCTAGTCTGTTTTTAATCACTTGTCTCTAGTACAGGGTGTCCCAATAAACATAGGAATTAATGACAATGTCTATATTGTCTTTGTTTCATGCGGCATTATTTCATTAAAAATAATTGTGTAGTATCCCAGTTGAAACATATAACACTGAAAACTGGTAGTCTCGGAATTTCCAAAATGTGGTTAACCAAGTTTTTACCTTCTAAATTGACGGAGATCAAAGGAAATTTCAATAAAAATAAACAGAACTGTCGAAATGTTTAATATTCCGTTAACTTTAAAGGCCATATTTTGGAAAGCTTATCAGACTTTCAATCTTTTTTTTTTGGTGCACTTCATTTCAATTATTAATTACAGGAAATCAACGACGATATTCAAGTCGGCTCTCAATTCCCATGTTTATTGGACACTCTGTAAATTAGTAATGATCAGAATGAATCTATGTTATGTAGGCAAATGTTGAATTGGAATTTGATTTGATCTGATATTTGCTTCCAATATTTTTAATCAAAGATCAGAGCCTGAATCTGCCAACTTGATGGGCGTATTTAAGGCGTACTTTGTATGTCTCCGGACTATATAGTGGTTGTCCGCCAGATGTCACCCAAAGTTTAGGTGTCCAAACGTAATCTAATTTTACTATGCTTTCTATTTTTTCCGCCGAGAGTGGTCGTGTTTCACCTTGAGTAAGTAAAGACGTAATAATGTTTTCAAAAAGTACAGATGGCAGGATTCAGGCGTATCTGGTTTAACAGGAACTGAGCTTTCGACATGTGATTAAATTCTCTAATCATAACTTTGCATGTGCATGCAACGTGAGGCCAAATTTAAAGAATTTAAGTCGCAGTTAAAATTTAAGATGCGGCTCAAATTTTGTTGTTTCCACTTAAATTTGTATTATATTTTTCAAGCCAGCGTTCAATTGAAACCGGTTTTTGGGAGTTTTGAGACGCGGCTTAAATTCACTGGTCACTGTTGTAAACCTTGGATATTTCAAATTTTGTCAATTTTGATTCTGAATAATTTAGAGGTTGAAATACCAAAGGTTTGCAACATCAGGTTGCACATGTAAAGCTCAAGGATTAGATGATTAATTATTAAATTGTGAAAGACTAGTAACATAGATTGGTTAAATTGATTTTGATAGTTCAAAAATGAAATGTTTAAAAAAAGAAATAGTTTATATTTAAAAAAAAATAACATTTTCTGAACTATTCATTTCGTTCGCTTAAGAATACGTTGTCATGCAAATCCAAACTAGAATTGTATGAATTGTATAAAACCTTTAGGATAATGTTATATCGTCTATACGCATCATCCCCCCTACTGAACTTCTGACCTACTGCAATACCGGACCTACGCCAGCTGCTTCTTTTTGTATTCTTTGAGGATTAATTTAAGACAATTTCTGGGCCGAGCGCCGCGGCTAGGACAAGTCCATTTAGCAGCTGTAAAACCACGTGATTGTAGGTCGGATGTGTAGTATAGCGAATTTTTCGTAGGTCAGAAGTGAAGTGTAGCGGATTTGTGTTTATGAAAAATACACCACGAACATTTAGTTTTCCCTTAATCCAGAAAACGTTCTCCGAAGTTCCACACTAACATAATTTTAAGTTACAATCACTACGTCTAAGAGAAAAATACAACAAAATTCAGGAATTAGGGTGATATTTTCTTGTACAATTTAGATACAGTGTGCCCCAAAAAAATAAAAATATAATTTACCCGGAGATAACATCCTGCAGAATCATGTTTATTTGTTAGCTTTAACATATTTATTTGAAATGACGATGAATCATAATTACAAAATAAGAAAGTGCATGAAAACATAAACATTAACAGGCGAGATATTATCATGATTGGTTCAAAGAAATCGTCTAAACTTGGTAGTAATAAAATATCAATGAAATCAGCTTCATAGTACATAAGATAATTCTAAATTAAACAGTTTTTTATCGCGATTATATTATATCAAAAAAGAACAGTACGATACGCGAAGAATGTACATAAACGTGCATTCTTAAATGATAGGTAAAAGTACAAATGGTTCGCAATGCATGCAGTCTTAATTATTATGACTAGTGTTCATTGATTGAGTAATGATATCGTTAATTATACTTTCACAATTAGTTATTGCCTTAACCTCTAATTCTTTTCCAGTTTCATTAATATTAACTTCCTTTACTGTTTCGGACACTTCAGAAGATACTTCTTTAACCGGCGCTATTTCTGTTTCAGCGGCTTTCGATGATCCTTCTGCTTCAACTGCTGGTGGCGGCGCTTTTTCTGCTGATGTTTCATTTGGAAGAGAGGCTTCTAAAGAAACAGGAGTATCTATTGTAGGAGCAGCGGAAGAGGGAAGGGAACTTTTGGGAGTATCAAGAGAACTTTCAGATGCGCCATCTTTTACTTTTTCTCCGGAAGAATTGCGGATTTCTGTTTTAGAAATTCCGCCCGACTTTCTATCTTTTGCAGACAGAGAACTTTTAGATGAAACTGAAGGATCTGCTTTAGGATTTGAAAATATTTGGGAAGAATTTTCTGTGTGAGCCGGTGGAACTTTGCATGGTAGGTTATTATTAATTTTGTTGAACAAATCAGCTGAACTAGAATTTTCCGGTGATTGAGGTTTAGTCGGAATAGAGGCGGATGCCGTATGCTCAGTTTGAGATGGTTCCCGAGACGGAACCGACCCGGTTTCGGCAGGAATGACGGTTTTTCTTCGTGAAAGTTTGATTGTATCAAACTTGATGGAATCATCGTCTGAGGTTTCGTCAGATTCCGATGCTTCCGAGTTTCCTGCATCAACAGGGGACATTGATATATCACGACCTGCAATTATATCCAGTCAACAGATAAATTTTTCGGACACAAAATTTTTTTTCAGAAAAATGGCACTTAATTGCAATTAAATTACAATTCAAACAAAAAACGTGTTCTATCATATCTAATTAATATTCCAAAAACGTAATGTAATTTCCCGAAACTTTAAATTTAGCCTACAAAAACTAAACAAATGGACTGCAATAAAACAAACGAATGTTTGCAGAGGGAAAGGTTTCTAAACCAAGAGCGCACTAGAGATGTATTTAAAGTAGTATTCATTCCCATCGCAACTACTTTACCTAGATCCGGACTGACCGGTTTATGTATCTCTGGTTGGTTAGCTCCGCCCCTGTTGAGTCTAGGGGGCGGGGCAGGGAGGGGGAGAGTTATCTCTAGGTTTATATGAGTATCCTCGCCTTGACCATCAGTCTGTACTCCCTGATCTATACTGAGAACAGGTTTCCTGTCGACTGCCAGGGAACTGTGCTTCCGGGATATACCCAACATCTCCCGTAAACCCTACAACAAGCTTAATTCATTTCCGGTCAAGTCAAAATTCAAGTGTCATTAAAAATATTAAAAGCAGAAATGTACTAAATAAAAATAAAATTTTAAGAAACAAATAAGTTATGGCATAGAGAGGGGGTGTGTGAAGATTTTTAGGCATAACAATAGGGAAGCCCTTTTTAAAATACAAGTAACCCAAAAATTGATCTATTTTCACCTATAAATCATATATTCTCCCCATTTTGGCAAATAAAATCCCAAAAAACAGTTTCTGGGGGGTAAAATGATTTTCAAAAGTGGGAGGGGGAAATGACTATCAAGAAGATATACAACCCTGACAACAAGCATAATATTTTATAAAAAAGACGATTTCATAGACCCTAATTTTAGAAGTTTGAAGTTCTATAAGAAAGGGATAGATTTTCGTATATAAAATGGGAAAAAAGGACAATCGGAAATCAACTAAA